TCCATAGTGGCTAGTTTCTTTCCGATTGACTTGTTTGCTCGTTGATAACTCGAAATATAATGACCCGATTACTTGGTGTATATACTAACATGAGTCACTCAGCTAGCGCCTAGCTGGATGAGTAAACCCACCCACACCAGCCCCGCCATTCCGCAAACTTTTTGACCTCCCCTACCCTGATGTACGTAACATTATTCTTGATAATTAGGTAGTATTAAATATTAAATATTCTTAACTATTTCTCAAAATTAACCGATGCCTACCAAAGTGAAGCCAAAGAAGCACAGGAAATATTTTAGTGGAATTTTTTTTAGTTTGACGGGATATCTTTTGTCAGTTCCTCCACGAAATTGAAGTAACTTCAATGAACGAATGGTACACTATCAAAAGCCTGCCAGAAGTGTCTACTGTTGTGATTAGCAGGTGATCGATTGCGACTTGCGAGGCGCTCCGGGCAACTGCTTCACTATGACAACGCGCGCACCCTCTGCACTCATAACGAAGAACTTCCTGGGCAGCACATTGATTGAGTTGCGCTCCTCATTACAGTCCTGATTAGGCATCAAACAACAACTGAAGTGTCAAAATATAAGTATTATCGAAAAGTTAGCGTATCAATTCGCTTGGGCCAAAGTCATAGATCGCCTATATGGATCGCTTGCTTATGTTAATGAATATTGTTACCGATCTGACTGCACATATCCACGTTAATAATATACCACAGAACATGATACTGTTAAATTAGTCTACTCTGCTTACTTGCAAGCAGAGTAGACTAATTTAACTGTTGCTTCATTAGCATTGACTTGTAATACTTTTAAAATCAATGCTCAAGAGTCATTTGTATTAATTACTTTGAGTTTTGACTCAATTCGATGCGATCGTGACCACTCGATGCGGTTCTCAGCTAAGATGTGAGCGAACTCCGAATTATAATATTTAGAGGTTAGAAATTCATGTAATTCCGATAAAATACGTTTTGCGCCGACGTAGTTAGTACCGTTATCCGAGAACATTTTACTTACAGGGCCACGGCGGGAAAGGAACCTCTTAAATGCACCTATGAAGCCCGTTGTGCTCAGATCAACGTCAAATTCTATATGCACAGCGCGAGCAATCAGACATACAATCACGCTAGTGTTATAAAAGCTAACAAAGCGATACATACATTTAGGTTATCAGCTGATTTTGAAAGCTAAAAAAACCTTCAAAATTCTATATTGCGCCTTTTTACGCAGTCTTTTGGAATATGCCTCCGAAATTTGTAATCCAAAATATAATGCATATGTTCATAAGATAGAGCGCGTACAAAAGTTTTTTTTTTCGTTTTCTCCAATTTAAATGAAATAAGTACGTAAACAGATGCACTCCTTGATGTAAAAATTATTAATATAATTCACATACTTCCTTTATATATGAGCGAAGATAATGATACCCACCTTTAAACTCATAAGTGGGAACACTTATTGTGACGGACGGGAAACTACGGAACCCTACACTGAGCGTGGCCCAACACGCTCATGGCCAGTTTTTTGGAATTAACTTTCTTTTAGTTTCTAAATTTATCACATTTCATGTGGCTTTAGACTTGTTTGTAGAAGTTTAATTTTATTGCTTAAACAGTCATTTTTATCTTTAATGCTAGTTTTATCGGTAAAGTATAGTAGATCCACAGGTCACACGTCTTCGCTCAGGTATGTTTATTTGATTTTTCCGCTTATTCAAATGACTTCATATTTTATTTATAAAGGATTCTTTCCGCTACTTTGAGCCTATTTCGCAGTAATCTTGGTACTACGTAGTACAGTTTGCAACTCTAGTTGTACGGTTAATTCAACAATATAAAATTTAATTTACTTTGTTTTTAATCGGTTTCAGAAACGGGGAAAATTCAAGTGTATTAATAATTTCTCGGTAGCGCAATGTCTAAGATGCAAAAGATCATATCCCTCACGAAACAAATGTTAGTTTGGTTTACCGATAACTCTTTCGGGTCTGGAGACATACATATCCACATGCAATTTATGTATGTAAAACTCCTCTACTCTCTTAATCTTATAGATCGATATAGAATCTTGTGCGAAATTAATATATTTTTTTATAAAATATTTTTTGATTTATTACATTTTCCCGAATACAAATAACATTGGAAAAAACTATTTTTACGGATTTTATTGCGTTTTATTTACTTGTTTTTATTACGTGCCATTTCAGTAACTATACTGCACTCATGGTCAGGGGGGGGGGAGGACGGGGCGGACTGAAGTGTTTGACGTCCTAATGTCATAATTAATCACAACTAATTACCCACTGAAGATATTCAGACCATGGGTGCTGTAAAGTGCCCAAAACGTTGGGAATTAAAAGCACGTAAATTAAACGCGATAAAATCCGTAAAAATATAAAATAAAAGTAAATAGATGTATATAACACGATATGTCTTTGATATTTATGTAAGTTAAACGATTTAGATATTTTAATAACCTTTTAGAGTATTATTTCATAATCATATTAATTTTAACGTTAAGAATCATCTTCCGCTCACCAGATGTCGTTAGTTGAGACGGAGGTGAAGTTTTTTAATTTACACCATGTCATATGATTGAGAAGTTGAGTATAAAATAAAAGTTTATCAGTTTCTAGAGTATTATGTAAATACACAAAGCAATTATACCTCAGTGGTTTGCTCTTTAATTTTTTACACGTTTTTAAATATTTTTCATTAATTTTCATACTATTAGGAATATCTGTAGTTTGGTATAATTAATATAAAATATAACTAATATTATAGAAAGAAGTCTATATGATCCTAACAAATTAACTTGACCACTACGAAATCTGTCAAATATTTCAATTCATTCCTAAGTTATGTACGTGATAGAGCCACATGAATGGGTCGGCTCGACCGGGGTAGCATCACGCTCTCACAGAATACCAGCGTTAAATAGCAACTTAATGCTGTTGTGTTTCGTATGTCGAGTGTGTAGAACCGGAGACTCCTTTTACTAGAATCGAGGCATTCCATCTTAGTCCTTAGGGGTTGCAGCGCATCTGCGTTTTGATTCTTAATCGAGGTTAGGTGTGGATGTCTATGGGCCGCAGCACCGCTTGCCATCGGGTGGATGGTGTGCTCGTTACCCTTATCCTATAAAAATGTGGCGCCGCCCGGTTTTTTAATAGAATAAGGGTGACAAACGAGCACACAGTCCACCTGATAGTAAGTGGATACTGTAGCCCAGGGTTGGCGAACCAATGGCACTCGTGCCGTCGATGGCACGCGACACAATATTTTGGGCACATTGGATCACAAAGTTCACTATGAAGTATTTATTATATTACGAACGAACGCGAGTGATCCTAGTTACATCGTGGACTACTTTTGCTAATGACGCATAGTTCGTTTCATCATCATCACCATTATAGCCCTTTACAAGTCCACGCCTCCCCCAAGAAATGCATAGTTCGTTGACACAACTGTATTTAGAAGTCCATTTGTGTTATATTTATAAGTACAGTATAAGTTATTTGTCATCTAACCTGCAGCAACAGAAGTCACAATGTTACTTTAATTTGAATTAACCACATAACTGAAACATTTTTAATATACATTGGAAAATGTATTTTGCTATGTATAATAATAAATGTTTTTTATTTTTTGGAGTAAATAAGGAGTTTTGAGTCGATAGTGTTTAGTACTATTATTTTTCTAATAATCACAAAGTCAAAATTATTTATTAAAAGCGACAGTAGCCTAACGGCAGGGCGCGGACCGCGAACTCAAAAAGGTCGTGGGTTCGAATCCGCCATTCGACTACTGGCGTGAACCACTCGTAACACAAGCAATTTAAGCTTACCACGAGTGGTTAAGGGGAATATTAGTAACGTTTATAGTTATAAACATTACTATATAATTGTTAATATTCTTTATTAAAAATAGAATAAAAATAAAAAATAAAATTATTTTGCGGCATGTCTATTACCTAATTAAACATTTCTTTAGAAAAATGGCACGTTTAAACATAAAGGTTCGCCACCTATGCTGTAGCCCATAGACATCTACATTTATCCTCGATTAAGAATTCGAGCTACAATCATAATACAGCTGCAGCGTGGCTCTACCACGTATAAATAATAATGGTGGCAGAAAAAATTCGTAGATGAAGTCAGAGTCATGGAAGGCGCTTTAAATTTTAAAATAATTCAATTATTGCTACATCAGCCTGTAATAGTCCACTGCTCTCCATTGTACCGACGATTTGCCTTAATCGTTTCGCTGGTCAGGTAGATTGGCGATCGTAGTATCAGAAGCCTCGCACCTTTGACGCTGCGTTCCGACGCCCGTCTGAGTATTTGACGCCTGACGTAAATAGACGCTTGTACCGCCATCTGTTAGAAGTCAAACATCTTTTTGGCATTACTCATGGTCGCCTTTTACGAAACCAGAAACCCATAGGAAGAAATGGGATGATATATTACTTTACACATAGAAAGTGTTTTAAATGAATTGATGATGATATCTGGTTACTCGCCACGGTCGTTATCATGTATTTGAAATTGTTATATTCGCCATAATTACCATCTTCGGCAGTTCGTAAATTTTTTGCAAAGTTTTATTTATATGCCATTTTTATATGAGCTGACCTACAATTTGATAAATAGAAGATTTCGATACCATTATCTTTTTTTTACGAATAGAGCGTTCATAACAAAATAAAAACAATATAATGAATCGCCAACGAATAACTAAATATAAAATAAATAATCATGCTTTTGCTTAACAGCACAGTAAACTTATGGAGAACATGTCATACTTTAGAGCTTTGGAAGTAAAGTAAAGGTTAGCTAAAAGGGGTAAGTTTATTAAGCTGCTAACAATTGTTAAAAAAGGATTAACAGATAGATTATATTTGTCAGAATATAGATCAGTTTGTTAGGCATTGCATTGTTTTGTTTAAAACCAGATAAGTATGAGATACTCAAGTAAATATACAACAGTATACCTGTAGGCACATCCCAAGAGGGACTGTTGTAAGCGTGGCAGACTCTGCTCATGATTTCGCCGAGCTTCCGGCCGCACAGCTTCACAGCGGAAGTAGCCGCGTCCGTCCGCGACCCCCACAGGACCGCTGCCGTCAGCACCGTTAGTTGCACTGTTTTCGACACGAGCATTCTTCTAGGATAAAAGAAATATTACAATGAAAACATTGAACATTCTAAATAAGAAGAAACTGAAGAAATCTTTATTTAAGAAGTTAACTTCTAACCGAGAAGAAAGAAACATTTTTATAGAAATTTATTTAACAGGGAAGTTGTTTGCATAAAGTAGGCCTTTTGCTTTTATGCGACCAGTATAATTTATTGTGATTGAAGTAGGTGTCTTACACGTTTAGTATCTTGTAAATGTTGATTACATGGACTGAAATTGCACTCTATATTACGAAACAAGACGGTATAGACCTTTTTAAAACATGCACTAAACGTTAAATGTTACTGGAGTCCATTAGTCCATTATAAACGCATTTAATGGAAACAAAACAGTGAATGCAAGTAATTCGAGAAGCTTATGCTTTTATAGTGAAGGGCAGGTGTAAAGTGATACAGGCAACGCCCTTTGAAACCCAATCCTGATATTTTTCATTTCCTAAGTATAGTAATTTTAGATAGTGAAACGCATTTTCTTTAAGTAGCAAAATAAAGATTTAGAATTCATTTTCTTTTATACAATTTTAGTAAAATCATTTGAGCAAAATACTTTTAGAATCTATTATTTGATGGAAGAATTTTTTACCGATAATGTTGTCCTTTATGTTTGTAAAATACTCACATAGTGTTTTAAAAAAGTTAAAAGTTAAAGTTACAGCCTATATACGTCCCACTGCTGGGCACAGGCCTCCCCTCATTTCTGAGAGGGTTTTAGGACCAGGAAGTGTCAAGAAATTGTCCGCCGCGCGGCCCCAATGCGTGTTGGCGAACTTCACATGTCTTCGAAATATTTTTTTCCTCACGATGTTTTCCTTCACCGACGAGCACGTGGTAAATCAGCACTTAAAATTGCAATTAACAATTTCATTGGTGCCGGCGGGGATCGAACCCGGGTTACTCGCGTTCTGTTATATTTACAGCGAGCGTTATCCAATATTTACTGATCAGATATCAGTATTTACTGACGTTGTAAGCTGTGTAAGCATATTACTTAGTGGATATACTTGGTCCAGTGTTGGAGGTGTCAGACGCCATACAGCCAAACCCGAAAAAGATATTAGTATCTACGACTATGTGTTTATTTCTGGTTGATATAATTCTTTGTTCCAAAGCTTACCACTAGAGTAGACAGGAAAAACTTAAACTTTTAATAAAAAGTGAAAGACGGCTTAAAATAACTAAAAATAATAAAATAATTTTGAGTGGACTAAGAAATATAAAAAAGTAGGAAAGGCAACAAACTAGAAGTTGTCCAACTAGTTATGTTGCAAACTACATCTTCTATTATCCCACTTTTAGGAGAGAATTTTTTATGGGACCACCAAAATAAACAATTTTATATTAAAAGCGGTCATAATTGATGAGATATCGCGTAACATAAATATGTAAAAAAGTTAAAAACACAGTTCGATAGAACACTTCCTCTTTTTTTGAAGTCTGCTTAAAATACACTCGCCATTGATTCGTGGCGTTTGTTCATCAATGAAAATCAGCAATGAAATAATAATTTCTGTAATAATTTCGGTGTATCCGGTTGGATGATTCACATTCACAAGCATGTTAATATTATTGAGAGGTTCAATAAACTTTGTTTATCTGAGTACGAATAAAGCATTGTATAAATTAAACACTATATTTTATCCAAGAGTTTGACCGCGTAGAAAATTTAAAAAAGTTACGTGTATATACGTAACACGTGTATAAACGTAAACGTATCTGTAGCATTCCTTATTCAAATTGGTAGCAGGTATCCAGATGCGTTATCACCCCTGAGGACTAAGAATTAATTCCTCGTTATCAGTAAAAAGTGTCTACGATGAATGCTGTTGCGTTTAGAATAGTGATTGGCGAGATCATTCATCATAAAGAACATAGCAGCATTATGCTACTATTCTATTCGAGCGTGTCCTTCCCCGGTTAAGTCGACCCATTTGTGGTGCACCACCATACGCTATATACGTATACCATACGTATACGGGCGTATACCACCATACGCTGAATGGTTTTCCTGTTTGCTATTTCGTCTCTGGCATTTATTGTTATATAGCATACCGTCATCTATAGAAGGCCTATTTTTAAGCTGCAACCATAGATTTAGTATAACCGACGTGCAGCTACAGCTTAAAGATACTAAACGACTAAGCTGAGAGCGTTGGTTACATCGAACGATATTACGTACGTAAAGTAAAAAGTAAAGTTACAGCCTATATACGTCCCACTGCTGGGCTCAGGCCTCCCCTCATTTCTGAGAGGGTTTAGGGCAAGGAAGTGTCCGCCGCGCTGCCCAAATGCGTGTTGACGAACTTCACATGTCTTCGAAAAATATTTTTTTTTCTTATTCCTCAGACATGCAGGTTTCCTCACGATGTTTTCCTTCACCGCCGAGCACGTGGTAAATCAGCACTTAAAATTGCAATTAACAATTTCATTGGTGCCGGCGGGGATCGAACCCGGGTTACTCGCGTTCTGTTATATTTACAGCGAGCGTTAACCACTGAGCTACCACGGCTTACGTACGTAGTAGTAATTAATAGCTCAATGGTTGGTTAGCCTGGTGTCGACACTCCAGCAGTGGCAAAGGTTGCCGACATAAATAGTCAGTGCCATTTCATCATGTTCATCACAGCCCCTCAAAAGTCGTGCAGTAGAGGTTTGAAATTGGAGAAAAAGATGATTCCTAATTATTACACTCACAAAGCAATTATCGATGTTTCATTTCCAAAACATATTATTTTCTAAAGGTGGGTCTACGCTAGACGAGCCGTTTTTTGACGAACACAAATGGATTTGCATCGCATGCATCGATTTGCATGTTGTAGGCACGTTGTACGTCCACACTTGACACCGCGAGTAGAGCGGCTCAGCTTGTGATCTGCTCCTCTAGCGTAGACCCACCTTAATATATATTTATTCATAATTTATAGTTCAGATTCATAGTTCTACAACTAAACCTGTGGTAATGAATTATTGTTTAAACATTTTAAAATGATAATACTACATGGTCAAACAAAAGAAGATGACTTCACCTTCATCTCCTTAGTCATAAAAATGCAAATCAGCTACTTCCTTTTCTTAAGTGTCATTCCAAGAATAGTTGGGGTGGGTGCAAAATAAATTTTATTTAGATTTGTCGCCAGACGCAGCGGTTATTTTTGTTTCTCGTAATTTTGACTCAGTATACTGTTTTAATTTCTATACACGAAATTGCTATGCTATTTAAAATCTTTCGTCTAATCATACAAAGATAAAATATTCTTTTATATTGTATCATCGATCACCTGTTTGCAATTCACTGCTGTTTATAGGGCTCGCGCAGGTTAGGAGGATATATTGAAAACTAACAATACATTGTACTAAATCAGACACAGATTCACGTCTTCATGTGATGGGGGCCTCAGTAAGTCAGTTCGATTTCATCATTTTCGGATACTTACATCACCACTACATGATAAGTGGTGGTGTCATGAGTAGTCAAGCACAACAATTTAAATTTAATTTTTTATATTTTTTTACTATTATATAAGTATAGTAAAAAATATAAAAAAATATTAAAAAAATTATATTTTATTTTGTACCATTGTTATGAATGCCTACGATAATTATAACTAAAAATTAAAATCGATCTCATTTTGAGTGTTATTTGCACTTGTTAGTTTTATATCTAGTTCATTTGTCTTATATACTTATACGAGAAAATCATGAAAAAAGTTGGTTGGTAAAAAAATTAAAGAAAAAGAGGGTAAATGATCTAAATTTGTGGTCAAGGTTTTCGTCGAAATTTATCAAGAATGACGGTAATATGAAACTAACAAAAGTAATTTAAAGTGACAGGCCTGCAATGCGTGTACGGCGAGGATAGTGTAATGTAAAGGATAGTAAGCGGAAGGCCGCACTTGAGTTGATTGCGAGGGCGTTGCTGCAATCGTCCAAGGGAGGCGAAAATAGATTTCGAAAGAGTAATAGAACGCAATGTACTTAACTTTGACACCACTTTTGTCTAAACAAGTTCAATATTTTACTATTTGCATGTTTCAAACGCCTGAGTTGAATTTGAAAACAATAATTTGTATGTCACTTCATTAGTCACTGTGTATTTTCGTGGATTGAATAACATCATATATTATGGATATTATATTATACTTATACAAAGTATGAAAACTCTATTACGAAATTCAAGGGACCGGACAATTTATGTGATGAGTAGAATATAATAACCAAATACATATTTAACAAAATATTTTAGTGCAAATATTTGATGCTTAAATTAGAATAGGTACCTAATACATTATACAAAAAATTAAGGCTTAATATTGATTATTAATATAATATTTGATTATAACATTATGTACTCTGTTAAAAATAACAGCAACATTTTTGGCACAGCAACATCATTGGCACAGCAAAATTAATGCAAAGGAAAACCTTTGCATTAATTTTGCTGTGCCAATATTTAGATTGCACTGTGTACGTATTTTGACATCCATTCCAAAGTTCTAGGATCGTCTTCATGAAACAATAAGAATCTTTCTAGCATCTTTATTTTGATACCAGTTGTCATTAAACTCCCTAAATACTAATCTGTTCTTACAAACGTCTATCATAGTAAGAGTAGCTCTGATTCTCGACTTGAATCGATAGTAGCAAAATTAGTAGATAGAACAGCGTGGCTAAAATAATGCTGTATGGTTGCTGCTGTCACCTCATACAGGCTCTGCTCAGGAGGATCACCTCATTCAACAACCAACATATCCATTTGTCGGAAAATTAGTGGCGCCATCTATGATCACACGGTGGCAACACTGGTTCTCGCTCGATTAACAACCGAACGCCAGCGTGACGTCATACCAAGTCATGCTTGGATGCGGTTGCGGCAGCGCCGTGGCCGTGGAAGCGAGGGCATCCGACTAGTATATAGTTATCTGTGTCTGTGATTCTATCGCCAGTGCTCGCACAGAGCGGACGTGTTTGTTA